GGGGAATTCTGGGAGTTGAAGTCCACACATCTTAAAGTTGCCAAGCTTGAAAAACACTGACCTAGAATGACCAAGCTGATACTGGAATAGGAGGCTGTTATAAATCTCAGTTCATTTGTTCCCTACTTCAGCATTCCCATTTTTCTTAACAATATTAGATTTTGGCATAAGCAGTAATCTTGCGCCACAATAAAACAATTAGTTTTGAAAATGCCACAAGAATCCTTTTTGTATATTTATGCATAGTTGTTTTCTGGAACAGAATAAACCCACAATGGTTACCCATTGGGGAATGTGCAGAAGAACAACAAAAATACATACACCTAAGCCTATCATAACTTGACGCTTCATTTTCTTCTCTTGCAATTAGTCAATTTTAAATTTCCAGGGTTTTATCTCTGAACGTATCCCTTAACATTTCCAAAGTAACATTTCAATTTTCGCAGTCTGGTTTAAGGCAGCTGCTTAGCTAGAACAGGGGGTTGCATCAAATCTGCCAAAATACATTTAAATATAGAGATGCAGGTAGAAATTTGCCACCACTGTTGCAATAGAATAAGAAATACTTATATTTATACCTGAATGGGAAGAGGAAGATTGGGAGCAGGGTATCTGTGCAGACAGGTGACTAAGCCGTGCGCAACTCCCGCATGAATCAATGCTGACCCTCTGAACCTGTCTGTAATAATATCTAGTTGCTCTTCCAAGGACAGCCTGTAATTTCTTTGATCCAGCCTATCCACCTTACCTGCTGTCTTCCCATTTTTCTACTTCCCTCAACCATGTCCCTCCTAGTCCTTTTCAAAGGCGATACGGTCAAAAAAAGGACTGTCCTATAAAATAAGATAGGCAGCCTACCTCGATTTGCAAATTGTTTGCCCTGCTTTCTGGTTGCCTTTGAAACTGCTTTGCTCTTCTGTGTCTTGTTGGGGAACAGCTTTTTCCAACCTGGTGCCCTCCAGATGTGTGGGGACTGCAGAATTCCACCGAATTCCCAGATGCCCTGGGGGAAGCAGGGCTTAAACTGAGCTAGAGTTTCAAAGCACACATGGAATTGGAGCCAGGAAGAGAATCCAACCAGGAAAAGTTAGCCAGGGCTGCTGTCTGAAACTGAAAGGTTTGGAGGACGCATCAGGGTGGCAAATTTATGAGGCAGGAACGCTAACTTAGTGCCTGAGTTCAGACTCCGGCCTCTCTGCGAAAAAAAGAACGTAAAAGGTCTCTGCCTAAAACCCTGAAATCCTGCCTCCAGTAAGAGTGAACATTATTGGGGGAAGTGATTCATTAAGCTTCCTCGCTACGTGCCGTACATTTTCTAGATCTCCAGAAGGACTGCTGTCCCTGGGAAGAGCAGTGAAGTAAAACTGGTGTTTATATAAGAGACCGGTGCTTTCGGGGTACTCCAAAAGGCCTTTCTTGCCCCCTGCTGCTGGTGGGGGGGTGAAAGGGGAAGGCACTCACGACAGATGCTGCTCCCCAGCCTCCCGGTCCTTTCCCTTCGTTTTGTCAAGGGTTTCTGTGCTGGCGAACCTCCTTTCCTGAACTGCGGGATGGAAAGAGTTAACAGCCAGGCCCTACCTGCTATTGCATTTTAAAGATGCCGAGATGAAAGCCCATAATTTATTCTCCCCACACACGAAGGAGCAATTAGTTCTAAACACGGCTTAATCAGTCAGCGAGAGATTGATTTCTGTAGACTTGGATTTGGTGGCTGCTGGCAGAGTGCCAGCCTGCAAGCAGTCTCCAAATAAATGAAGTGCAGAGAAGTAAGCCGTTCCATAATATGATCTATGGGCCTCTGTAACTTTCTTGCCTGCTCATTAGTATGCCTCTGGACAAAGGCATGGATGCAACTCTGCAGACGCCTCACCAGCTCTCACCAGGCGATTTTTCGACCCCTGTGCCTCCTTCCAGCCCATCCCCCTGGGTGGGTGTGCAATTGCTTGTCACTACATTCAGCCTTCAACCTGGCAGCCTGCTTCACCCACTTTCAGACGTCAGCCACAACAACAACAACAAAAAGCACTCAGATTCTTTCTCTTCACAGTTGAACAGCTGATACTTGTCAGCTTTGGAGTTCCACAAAATTCTGCATCAAGCATGGAGCTCAGTGGAGAGAGGGGGGGAAAAAGAAGCATAGAAAAATATTTGTAAGAACCTTGACTTCTGTGTATAGTCCATAGTTGCATAAGCATGTGCTCAGTTTATCATGCTAGACAATCCAACTTTTCATATTTTAAAAGCATTATACGTGATCCTTAAGGATATGAAAGTGGAAAGAGAGGAGGGATACTCGCTTTAATCTCAGAAGACAGGATATGACCAACCAGGCTGTAGGTTTAAGGCTATTGGATCTGGGGCTGCAAACGTTTGCTGCTAGGTGGCAGCAAATAGATTTTTGTGGTCATCCAGGATTTTGCATCTCAGATCTGATAGTCCTCGTTATTTTAGCACTCAAGGGCTGCTGTAGTTTTGGAGAACATGAATATGTTTATGCAAAATATGTAGAGGAATTTCTGATCCCTTTATTTCTCGCTAAATATTCCCATTACAAGATGGAGGAAACTGTGGTGTGAAGGTAGTGATAGATACATCATAAAGACACTTGAGAAATTTCCATTCCCATTTATATTCCACCCTTTCTAAAAGAAGCTCAGCAGGGCAAGTGATGGCAATTTAATTTTATTTTCCAATCAACCTGGCATGGCGGTTTAGGTTGAGAAACAGAACTGGGATCCCTCCATATTTTTGACCCTGGGGACAGGTCTGAAAAAGGTCATCCCTCCATGGCCTGGTCATTAGCTTCCCAAATGCTCAAAATCAGCTGAAACTTAGTACAGTATGATGGATGAATGCAGCTTGTAACTGAGCTGGCTATTGTACTGTAACCAAGCTGGTTATTGTGAGAACACAGCCATACACTGGAATGAGATGGTCATTACTTGGCCAGTTCTGAAGTAGTCACAGATCCCACCACTTCAGTCATTAGAGACATTTGTGGCAAAATCATGTTCTAGAATGGGCCTGCTGTGGACCATCCCTGCATTTTCCTTACACTTTGCTTGAATGCCCAGGGGAAACGCTTGTCAGCTCAGGAGCTGACCCTTGAAGTGGTGCAATCTGCCACTCGAGTTGTCCCATCTACAGAGCAGTTCTGTCCCATTGAAGCATCTACCCTTGAGCCAGAAAGAGTTTCTAAAGGTCTTGTGGGGAGGATGGGCTTTGTCACTATCTGAAAGGGTTTTTAGCAGCCTCTTTGGGATCTTAATCCCAGCAGCAGCCCACTCCCCCAACCCTGAGTTTGCTGTTAGTGATGGTTCCAGATGGTTTGCGGAGTTAGGGGGTGGGTGGGAGGACAGTGACCTTAGCCAGTTTTCTCCACTCCACTCCGTCAGTAACTTTCCTCCCCCACACTAGATGGCATGCTCCCATTTTCCCAGCCATTCTGGCCTTTTAGGACTGGTTCCTGCCTTCCTGGCAAGTAGCTGGGTCCTCAGCAGCAGAGCCGAGCCAAACCCCCATCCCATTTTGGCTGATCACCTGCAGGCTCTGCCCTCGGTGATGCGTTCACCCTTGCCATTGACTGTTGAGTTAATCAGGTGTGCAGAACCACAGCGAGAATTCCATGGGAAAATTCCTTGGGAGGGAAGTGGAGAAATAATCCACAGGTCACAGGCAAGATTCTTCCAACATTCTGTACCTATCAGAGATCAACTTCCCTGTTCACACAATCTCTCCTTCTATCTCTCTGCCCTCCCTGTATTAGAATTAAAAGCAAAGCTGGGGGCTGAAAATACCTTCTTCCTCATTGGCACAGTACTTTTTTGGGAAGGATGGCGGGGGGGAGGCACCCAACAGTAGAGAACACTAACACAGGAGCTGCAATGGCAGCTGCAAAGCCCTTTGGACAACACAAGAATGGGAGACCCCATAAGGACTCTCCATGACAGACCCACTGAATGGGGCACTTGGAAATTGCCCAGAGTGCAGGGTGCCCGAGTGTTGGAACATGATGTTTGAGGTGAAACAAAAAGTCAGCTGTTTCCCTGAGGAGGGGGGTAGAGGTAGAACAGAGGAAAGATGCTAAGTCTTCTATGTTTTTAAGCGAGTAGAGTTGAATAAAGGAAGTTAGTACATGTCTGGTGCAGCCAATGCTTTAGGTCACTTGCTGGTTGTCTTCCTTGCTACACTGAGATGCACTGCATCTTTGTTTCAGTTGGCTGCAAAAATTGAAGGCCCAGGGTTGCTTGTGCCTCCCAGGAACCTTGGCATGACCCCTGGAGACCTTCCAAAAGTTGTTGCTCAACTCTACTTTTCAGTGCAGTAGAAGTGAAAAATTACTGCATGCGTGTGGTGTAATGATGTTGCAGGAAAAGATCATGACAAATCACGTTCACACTGTTTCCAAGAATCCGACAAGGACATCTCCGTGAAGTCCCAGGAGTTGAGCTGGACTTCAAGGAGACTTTACTATAATCATGTTAACTGAAATTTAATTCTTTTAATGAAGCGCTAATTGACTTTATATCTGATTTAGTTTTTTGTCGTGGCCCTTCCCGGTCTTTGTCCTGGTGCTCCCCATTTTGGGAGTGTGCCGTTAAAATCCCAGATGTGTCTCTTGACTTGAGAAAAGAGGGGCACTCCTGCTTTAAGGGAACCCCAAGCAGAGCTGGAAAAGCTTGGGGAATGTCAGCTGTAAAGCCAGGTGACGGGTGGTTTTGGGGGACAGTAGAAAGCAGAAGGGGTGCCAAATGGAAGATGCGGGACTGCTCCTGGCCTGCAGTGATGGATTTTTCCTCTCTTGGTTTTGTTTTGCCTGCAGAATTCAATTCGGCACAACCTGTCCCTGCACACCCGCTTCATCCGTGTGCAAAATGAAGGCACTGGCAAGAGCTCCTGGTGGATGCTGAACCCCGAAGGTGGCAAAACTGGGAAGACACCCCGTCGGCGAGCCGTCTCCATGGACAACAACAGCAAGTTCCTGCGGATCAAGGGCAAAGCCAGTCGGAAAAAGCAGATCCAGACTGCTCAGGAACGAGGAGAGGAAAGCCCGGCTAGCCAGCAGGCCAAATGGTCAGAGAGTCCCACCTCCCATGCAAGTGAGGAATATGATGCTTGGGCTGACTTCCGGACACGGGCCAACTCCTCGGCCAGCACGCTGAGTGGTCGCCTCTCCCCCATCATGGCCAACCATGAGCCAGATGAGCTGGAGGAGGATGATGGGACCCCATCCTCCCCACTGATGTACCCCAGCCCTTCTAGCACCCTGTCCCCCTCCCTGAACGCCCGCTGTTCAGTGGAGATGCCCAGGCTGACTGATCTCACTGGCACCATCAACCTGAACGAGAGCCTGGGAGAGAGCCTCCTGGATGACCTGCAGGACAACTACAGCATGAACCCCGCCCAGCCACTTTCTGCTGGAGGACTCCGACCCAGGACCTCCAACTTTGGCTTCAGCTCCAAGTGCTCCTCAGTGGGTGCAGGAGGTGGGGGAGGGGGAGGAGGTGGTAATACCTACTCTGGGACTATTTATAGCCAGCCTGCCATGAGCATCATGCGCCGTTTGCCCATGCAGACGATCCAAGAGAACAAGCAGGCCACCTTTGTTCCCATGAATTCCTACCGCAACGCCTCGTTGCAGGACCTGCTCTCCTCCATTTCCTACGCGCACAAGGAGGGTGAGCCACATCTGCCGCCAGCCAACAGCATGGGCCTGCCTCGCAGCCACAGACAAAATGCCCTGGTGTGTAGCGGTGGGGGTGGAGGCGGAGAGATAGGTTTGGTCCCCTACCCTCCCCACTCGTCCTCTCTCATGAAGAGCAACACGTTATACCACCCATCACCAGCTGGCCACCACCCTCCTCTTAACAACAGTGCCTTACCCTCTCCGATCAGCCTTATGAGCCTGCCCAGTGACACTTGCAGCATGGTGAACATGCCCCACCACGGGCATCTCCATTCCTACATCAACAACCAGGGGGCGCACATGAGCTTGCTAGATTCCTTGCAGGGACCATACCCAGAAGCCATGCATACCCCTGGTTTGAGTCAGGACAGATTCCCAGCAGATCTAGACTTGGACATGTTCAATGGGAGCTTGGAATGTGATGTGGAGTCCATCATCCTCAATGACTTCATGGACAGTGACGAGATGGACTTCAACTTTGACTCGGCTCTTCCGCCACAAAATGGTCTCAATGTGGCCCCTTTGCCCAGTGCCCCACAACCCACCAATCAAAGCTGGGTACCTGGATGAGGCCCATTCAGGTTGCTCAAACCCAGCAGTCAGTGGGGTGAAGAGGGTATTGGGAAAACAGAACTCTTTCCTCCACCATTCAGCCCTGCTATTCTTCTTTTCTTTGCCTTCATTTCTTCAGCCAGGCTAGAGCCATCTGTTGAAACTTGACAACAACACTACAAACATACACATACACACACACACACACACACACAATGTAGGGTAAAATGTTTTGACAGGTACCGGCGGCTTCCCGCCTTGTGCCAGGTGTATTGTGCAGTAAGTCGGATCTGTCTTTGATGTGTGCAATAGGCACAAGTTAGCCATGGCATTGCAAAGTCGCTTCCCCCCCCATATCCTCCCTCCCCTCCCTCCCTCCCTGGGCATTTGCACTATTGCACAGAAAGAGGGAACAGATGATCTGTGACCTGAAGAACAGTTTAGAGCTATTGCCAGGCATTCACACTAACCTAGATGGCTTCCATGAAAAGTTAGAAGTTTTTCACTGGCTGCTTTCCTAACTATTCTCCCCACATCTAAACTCTGATTTGATTTCGTCCTCTCACCCATTCCTTGCCCATCTATGTCCCCTGTTTTATGCAGCCACCAAGAGCGACAGGGAAGAACTTCCCATGTGAAACCTAGGTTTATCATATGATAGCTCCATTATATCTCCATCATTTTAACTGAATCACTGAGGATTTGCTCAACAGGTAGGAAAAATAGATCTAAGGTATTTGTGGCATGGCTGGTGCAGAAAGAAAAAATGTGTTTGATTGCTATGGATCTAGCCACTTACTCTGTGAACTTTGCATTGCCCAGTAGACGTGGGGTGTAACAAGAACTGAACTCAATCTAATCCAACTCAATGTTGGCTATTTTTTATGTGCATTTTCATGCCATCTGGGTTTGCAACAGGAACACATAGTTCACAGTATGAAATGCGCGTGCACGTGGCCACAAGTAGGGGAATGTGCCCTGATACTATGCTCCAGCACACAAATATGTGCATTTTGCACTTAAAAAATGGCATTTGGCATTATGGTAGATATGGCTACTGGTAGGATGGGCAGGTTAAGCAGGAAGGTGGAACTTATTTTCAGAGTTTGCACCTTCAGAAATGAAACTCATAGGGCTGAACATAACAGGAAGCCAATATAAAACCCCCAAATAACTGATTTTGGTTCTAGAAATTGATTATTCCTGGCAATCTGGAATAAGGAGGAAATGGGTAACTTCTTTCTTTCCATGCAAAGAAATCTGAAGGTCTGCAGTTGAATGGGCTGAAAGGAAAAAAAAACCCTGAAAAGAAAGGATTGGCTTTATTAGAATAGGAGCACCAGTTTAGGAGAACCAAACCCACAAGGTGATGAGAGAAAACTAGAGTTCTACCCAGACATGGCATGACAGGTGATGGATCAATGTCAGGGTCAATGTGAGAAAAGACTAAATATCTGGGACCTGTCTCAGGTCACCTTGGTGTCAGCCTTCCCTCGGTTTCTGTCTGCTCATTCATGAGTGTTGTTTGCTACACTGAGACCAAACATGGATATTTGGTTTCTTGAAATGCTCACCTTTCAATAATAGGGAAAAGTTTTGTAATGTCAAGTGTAAAGTCTCTACAGGAAGGGTAACACACTTCACAGAGTCTTTCAGCAGAATGTTCATTGTGTCTCTTTCTCATGTACGTTCATGCTCTCAAGTGCACACATATCAGGCCTCTGATTCTGAAATGAGAACAAGTTGGTTAGAATTAGTATAACTGCAGGGTCCATTTTAAACCCCAGATCCAGGCAGGTCTTCAAAACAACCCAATATACAGGCTTATTTTAAAGGTTTAGCACTTCAGTGCAAGCTGGAAGCATTGGAAATGATCACTGGAAATGTTTCTACAGCAGAAGGACTGGTTGTCCCTGTTTTCATGTAGGAAAACTCATGCAAAATTGGTAGAGCCCACCTGAGGCTGATTCTTGTCTCTGGCTTGCCTGTCCACAGATGAAAAGGGATCAGTAGAATTATGACATCCTCGTGGTAGTGCTGGATTCTGTGGCTTTTTAAATTCCCAATCCTTTCAATCTGTAGGATGATAATATCCCTTTCCTCAATTATCCTTCCTCACAATCCCTCCTTCCTTGGTGGAACTACAAGAACAGACAAGACAGAAGGACAGAGAGCCAGCCAATAGTAGTAATAGAAGAGGCAGGTACTTTATCTGAATTAAAAGTGTAATATAGTCTGGTGCTGAATTTAGTGATCTCCCCAGGCTCTTTGGCTCTTGACTTTCACTTGATGGTCCCACAATTGTGACACCATGGGAATTCTGTTTTTCCAACAGGCTTTTAATACCTCTAGTTTTGCGGGCAGAAGCCAAGTGAAAAAGTGGGGACAAAACATTGTTAAAACCATAGGAGAGTAGAACTGAAAACAGGATAATGCCATCCTTCATATTTCTTTACCTTTTCAACTTTTTTGAGAACCACTCCAAAAATGTCTGGGGTACTGTGACCCAGCCAATATTACGGATGCACTTTGAATGATTCCATTTGTTTCAGGAGTGGGATCAATAAGGGTTTTTTGTTGATGGAATTGATTTGACTGTGGTTTTAGGGCAAACCAAAGGAAGCACTTGTTCACATGGCAGATAATTAAGGACTGGAGTTTGTTGCCACAAGAGATGGTGACAGCCACTGGCTGAGATGACTTTAAAAGATGGTTAGCATGGTTGAAGGAAAGTGGGACATCTTTTTATGGATTCATCTCTGGTGGCTAAATGGAATTATTCCAAAACATGATGCTTCTGGGTAGCTGATCCAAGAACAAGGAAGGATGTTTTTATGTATGCCTTCTGGGCAGCATCCAGTTCAACCCTGCTTGAAATGGGTCTTCCAATCTGTGGCCCTTTGTTTGGAACCAGCAGGGTTCTTCTTAAGTTCTGACCACACCAACATTGAAACAAATGATCTGCCTTGATATTTGTTAAGTGCAAACTAGCAGTAGATACATAAAATAGTATGGTGTGGTATATTTATGGATTTTTTTTAAGGCAAACTCTTTATATCCTGATTCAAAGACTCCCATGAGAATTTTTTGTTTTTAAAAAAACAACACTACACTCCTACCAGTTGGAAGTCTGACAGGAGGGGAAGAGCCTCATCATGTGCCTCAAAGGAGGGAGATCTCTTTCCCCATCCCCACCCTCCACATTTTCCCATCTCGCCCCTGGGCTTTTATTTCAGTAAGGCAAGTTAATGCTCGGTCAGCCTTCTTTACCCCGTTGGGTGCCTCCAAGGTCCAGATTGCCCAGCCAGCATGGCTGTTGCTTAGAATTCTGAAAATTGATAGCTTGTGTGTTCATTCAGTATGAAACAGAATGGTATTCAGTGCTAAATCAAGATGATAGAGATGTAAAATAGATGCACAGAAGGAGTGGTTGGAAAGACTCCAGGTCCCAACATTATGTATAAGGCATGGTCACCATTTATGAGCAATGAAGGGAAACAATGTGGAATAGTCTCTGGCTTCCCTCCTTCATTTTTGCACTGCTGTTTCTGGTGTTTCTACCAGCCACACTGTGATTCTTACCTGAGCCTGGTGTCCAAAGGCCATCTGCAGTAGGGAGGCATAGATTGCTCGTAATCAGCTGAGTTTGTCATGGGTAGAGTTCACACAACACGCTAAGACAAAATATGATTTACTTGCTTGTGGTTTAGTGTGTTGTATGAATTGAGCCAGTGTGATTTGTAAACCAGGGTTTATGATTTAGTGTGTTGTATGAAGTCAGTCAATTGTAGTTTATTCAGTAAACCATATTAAGAAAATCTTGACTTACATATTGGATAACTCACTTTTGCCCAGGAAATTAGCAGACTAGGACTCTGAATGGCCCATATTACTCTTTGCTCTGGGTCTATATTAGTGACAGGCTTTAATTTTTTCCCCCAGATGGGTTTTTTACAGATTATTACACTGAATTTACTATATTTTGATTCCATAGAATTCTCTCTCTCTCTTTCTGCTTGCTTTCAACTGTTTTTGTGATTACCACTATACTACTGCATTCTGCTACTACTACTGTAGCAATTGTTTGGTCCAGCTCATGAGTTCATTTTATATGTTCAGCCTCATTTTCCCCAAATGTATGTAATGAAAAATGAAATTGTAAACTCAGTGCCCATTTCTAGAACTTTTTGAATCCGAGGAGAGGAAGAGAGAGTGAAGAATCTATCACCATTTATACTAGAAAATGTGCAGCCACTTTTAAATTAAATCCAGTGAGATTTGGTACTAAGCAGATGATTACAGGATGACATATTAATGTCCTGCAGGGTGAACACAGATGGAAGGAATAGAACAAGAGTCAGAAGGCCTCCCATTCCAGTGATGTTTCCTCCCTCAGCTCTTTTGTACAGGCAAACAGAGCACAATTCATTTGGGTTGTTTGGGTACCATCCACACAGAATTTCCACCTCCAGAAAGTGATCCCCTTGCTCAGTCCAGGTGATGTATCAATGGGGGTCCTTCAGGTGTGCAATGGCATCATATTTGCCAGGTGTGATGTTTACTGGTTTTTCTGGAAGTGCAATGCAGTGCTAAGGGAGCAGGGGAATCTGGGGGAGGAGTGCGTGTTAAAAAAAGCAAGATGGTGATTATGGCTGCCATCTTGACTTTTTTGACACCCCTTGTGGATGCCTTGGCAAGAGAGGGTCTTGAATGTTGAGAAAGGGCTGGGCAGGGTGCAATTTTCTCTTTACCAGGTCTCCTTCAATTTAATAAGAGATAATTTATCTTAGAAAATAATTCAGGGGAGAAGAGAATTTAGGTGCAATTCTCATAGGTAGCATTCTTGCACTTATTTAGTTAGAAGGTGGCCAAGGAGTGTGTGTATATGAAGAACATGTATTTTGTTGACCAATCCTTTCTCCAGCTGTCTGTAGTCCTCTGGCTTTCTGTACTTCCATTCAATTTAAGGGTAGAAACATTTCCCATAAAGTGTTTTCAGGAATGGTAGTACTGTCATCACAATTTTTTTCTTTCCCTGGTCCTTCTCTGCCCACAAGTTTGATGGAAATTTATGAAAGATCATTTTTGCCTGGCACTGTTTCAGGGAGGTGAGGATCAGTTGTTGCCTTAGGAATGGATGTGATGATTAATTTTCTTCTCGATCCTTTTGTGGTCAATCATCCTCTAGGGCCAAATTGAGTATCAACAGTCAAGCTGGCTAACAGATGCAGCTTTGATCATCTTTATTATTATTAACTTTACTTGGTTTTTACATGTCGCCTAAGATTTGGGGAGTGCCTATTTCTCAAAGTCACTAACCTAATGACTTTGACCTAGTCTTCTCCAAGCTGGTGCCCTCCATATGGGTTTGGATTTATAGCCTCCAAAATCCCTTAGCCAGCATAGCCGTGAGGGATGATGAAGCTTGATGTCCAATACAAAGGGAAGAAAGTAAGTGGGGAAAGGCTTCCATAGACATTTCTAAACCAAGTCTTACCTGCGTGCTTTTGACAGGTTCAGTGAAACAGTGTTGAGCAAATTAACCTCTAGTGATGGCAGTGAGGTGCACTGGTGGGCCACTGTCTCTGAAGTGCAGGGTGTCCACAAGGTATGGTCCAAAATGTCACGATGGTGGCCATGATTTTTTATGTGCATGTGGAAGCTTCGATCATACTGTCATGGCCACATCCTTGGCTTTTTGGACCCTACCCTGTGCACACCCCTGCTGATGTGCCTTGCTCGTGTGGCATGAAACAGCAAGGCAGCGACCATGCCAAGGAAGTGGAATATTGTCTCTGTTTCTAATCAAGTTGAATTGTTGCTTTTTGAGTGCAAAATTAGGATGGTTTTTCCCCCAATAAAGTATTCATTTGTCATGCCTGTATTTAGGATGGTTTCTTTTCTGACTATTTTTTTTTCAGGATCCAATTTAATTCACATGTTTGGAGGGTCAGTAGAAAATTGTTCTCAAATGGAAGAATTACGATTTTTCTCACTAGACAGACTTAGACTCATGTCAGCAACCTGATGCTTATAGATAAACATTTTCTCTAAAAAAAAGCCAATATTTCTACTGTTGAAGGAATGATTCTGTAATCTCAACTGGAGGCAGTTGCTTGGTACTGATATTCACAGGGCCTCCTGTTCCCTGCTTTGCACACCTTCCTGAAAACTGCCCGGGAGTAGGATTGTCTGCAAGGTATGGTAAAAATAAAGTCAAGATGGCAGCCACAAGGGTATGATTGAAGCTCGCCAGGTTTTTATGTGTGTCCCGTGTAAAGTGGTCAAAGCTTCAGTTTGCTGCTGCTCATCAGAAATGGGTGGGGCTTGGATCACATCATCGCGGCTGCCATCTTGGCTCTTTGACCATACCCTGCGGACATCCCTCCCTGGCGAATATGACAGGTTCTTTAACCACTCAACCTGTACACAAAGCCAAGACAGCACATAACAAGAAATGAAAAGGGTGCCCAAAACATGTGCTGCATTTCTTTCTCTTACAGAAGCCAGCATAACAGATCGCATGAAACCAGGGCAGATCCTCCAAACCAAAAGAGGTACTTCATGGCGAATAATGTCTAGATGTTGAAAAGAATCGAATCACCACAGTATCTTCTATGAGAGGTCAAGAGCAGCCACACTATTGTCTTGCAGCTCAGGTTGGTTGTAGACAATGTGCTAAGCTGTAAAGTGAATGATGTTTTGGCTTAGTTTATTGGGCAAACCCAGCCAATAGTGGTTTATTCAATAAACCATAGTTAAACAAACCAAGTGAAAACATAGTCATTGCATCCCATAGATCTCTGTGTCACTTCTGTTTAGACTGTGTGGCTGACTCTTCTTGGGCAAAGTTGCCCTTGGTTTATTACATCAAGATCTGTAGGCGTCATGTTTCAAGGTCACAGGAGACTGGCGGTAACATTGCTAGAAAGATTGGGGCCAAAACATTTAGCCTACTTTTTCTGGAAGTTGGGAGGTTCTAAGTCCCCTGCTCAATCAAAATACAGGAGGCACATTAAGTCTCCCAAAGGCCAACACACCTATTTTGAGATGTTATGGCTATGTTCACCCAACAGGCTTAACCAGATCAAGGCAGTCAGTGGCTGCAAATGCACAACTTGCTAAGCTTGACTAGTGTTAACCTTGGTTAGTATTTTTGTGGCTTAGTGTGTTGTGTGAACTCAGGCCATTTGGTTAGTTTATGGTTCAATGTATTGTACAAACCAGAAAATGGATTTATTCAACCTCTAGGTTACAGGTGTTCTGTGAACATGGCCTATTTGTAAAGAAACCTGAGGCTTTCAATCCCCATCATCTTGCCACAAAAGTTTGGCATTGGTGACTTTGCAAGACTCAACCACAAATGAGGCATGTGGTTCATGGGTTGCCCATGTTAGACCTCTGGACCAAGTGCAGTCACAGCACACCAGCCTGGCCATCTCAGCCTAGCCCTCGATCCTGCATCAGCCTTGGAGGGCAGAGGAGGAATCGAAGCACCTAATACTAGGCTGTTTCAGGGAACAGGAAGCACTGGGGTCTGTGAAATCGAGTTCAAAGAGCAGACCCACGTTGGAGGGGGCGTCCCAATGTCCAGAAATTTTGCCAAGAAGGTTGGCCCAACCAATTTTTTTCCAGTAAAATTAAAAGAAAAGTGTGTCTTTCTCCTCCTCGTATTTATAACTGTACAGATGCCGGGGCGGGGGTGGGCTTAGGGGGTTTTCAACAGGCTGTTATCTCTCACCACACATATATTGTACGCAATGTAACCTTCTTGATTGTGCTATTCTAGTTTTTGTGTATGTGGCAATGTAAAGAACTGTGTATAGTGCATTGTACAGCATATTTTCATGAATAAAATTTGTTTTAAATATGACAGGAAGGAGCGTGTTATGTTATATGGGATGCAGGGGCCTCAAAACCCACGAACTATTGGATGTTGGTGAATGTTCTCTTGTTGCCAATATTCTCCAG